TGTGTATTGTGTTGATGGTGTGTATGTATGTCTCCATCTGTCTCTGTTTTTTTTTTATTTTTTATTTTTTCTTTTTCTGTTTCTTCTTCTTCTTCTGTATCTGTTGCATGCACAGCACTAAGATGTTTATTTGCTTCTGCTGCAGCAGCAGCAGCAACAATATATTTTTCTTTTCTTTTGCTGCTGATGCCCTCAACAGCAGCAGCAGAAAGAACGCTGCCTTGAGCTCCTACTTTGGGTCTGAATGTTCTCATCTGCTGCAGCAGCAGCAGAGGAACATCCTGCTGCTGCTGCTGCTGCTGCTGCTGCTGCAGCAGCAGTTGCTGCAGCTGCTGCACTTTTTTCTGCTGCTCCTGCGTCATCTCCTGTTGCATCAGCTGCAGTTGCTGCTGATGCTGCTGCTGCTGCTGCTGCTGCTGGTATGTAGAAGCAGCAGCCTGCAGCAGCTGTGTTTGTGTATATCTAGTTGCTGCTAGTATATGTAATCCTCCTGCTGTCTCTAACATATCTTTGGCTCTATTATATGCATCTCTGCTTGCTGCTGTTCTTGTTTTATAATAAAGTTTTTGTGCTGCTGCTGCTGCTTGCTGCAGTGTCTTTGCTTCTGTCTCTGCATGCATGCACTCATCCAAAGCCCCATAATATAAATCAAGGGGGGGGGGCCCCCCAATAGGGTATATACCTCCTGCTACTGAACCCAAGAATCCTGCTGCTGCTGCTGCTGCTGCTGTTGCTGCTGTTGCTGCTGCTTCTGCTGCTGCTGCTTCTACTTCTGTTGCTGTTGTTGCTGCTTCTCCTTCTGTTGCTGCTGTTGCTGCTGCTGTTGCTGTTGCTGCTTCTGATGCTTCTGCTGCTGTTTCTGCTGCTGCTGCTTCTGTTTCTGCTGCTGCTGCTTCTGCTTCTGTTGCTGCTGCTGCTGCTTCTGTCTCTGCTGCTGCTGCTGCTGTTGCTGCTGCTGCAGTCCGGTTGTTATCTACCGTTTCTGCTGCTGCTTCTATCACCTCTTCCTCCTCTTCCTCCTCCAGCCGCCGCCGCTGCTGCTGCTGCTGCTGCTGCTGCTGCTGCTGCTGCTGCTGCTGCATGCATGCAGCAAGGGGTAGAATACGGCCCCCAACAAAGGTCATCAAGTCGACAGCAAAAGGTAAATCTTCGGCTGTTGTTAGAGATATCACCACCCCGGAACTGAAAATAAAAAAAAAAAAAAAAAAAAAAAAAAAAAAAAAAAAA